AGCAGTATATACAACCTTTGGATCTCAAATTGGAAATCTCTGTTCTAAGGCATAGTCCCGTGATGGCGAACCTATGACATGCTCTGCGTGTCATATTGCCTGGCACGTGCAGCGCTGCCCGTTCCTCTTTTGGGTTTCTGCCATGCATGAATATGCAATGATCAGCTGGCCTTCGTGCATGCAGCAGTGCCGAAAACTGGAAGAGCTGGTCTTCCATTTTCCTGCGTGAGCATGTGCACTGGGCAGCTGATCATTGGCGCACATGTGTGCCAGTAACTGGAAGACTAGCTGGCCGGCACGCATATGTGCACCAGAAACTGGAAGTTCATTTTCTAGCGCGGGTCTGCCCCCTGGGCAGCTCTTCTGGGTTGCGTTCCAGGCGGAACGCACATGCACTCCCTTTTCAGCACTCAGCGCCAAAAACGTTCGCCATCACTGGCATAGTCCATAGCAAGAATCCAGAAACAGACTGTTCTTCCTGGGTTTTCCTCTCCTTCCAGCCAGTTTCCCTCTTGAGTACCATATTTTCTGCCTAGCTTAGAAGCGTAAGCTTGAGACAAGGTAGGTAGACACCAAATTTGGCTTGGTTCACTTTAAATTTCCTATCCGAGTCTAGTGCAAAGACATAAAGCACATTGTGTTACATCATGTTGTTCAATGCAATGCAAATAATGTACAATTCAAAGATTAATGGATCGTACAAATAAGTTTATAGTCCTTATAGGCTTTTTCATGACAGTTTCCTCAGTATGTTATTGTGGTTATCTGAAGCCAAGAGCATGTAAAGCAGAGGTGGGTTCCTACCAGTTCGCACCTATTCGGTAGAACCGGTTCGTCAAATCTACCGAACTGGTTAGAAGAGGTTCCACCAGTGGACCCGGAAAGCAAGCCACACCCACAGAAGAGGTTCCAATATTTTTTGAAACCCACCACTGGTCCTTGGATATGATTATTCTACACTATCATGCTCATATTTATAAAACTCAGTGCCTCTGTGAAAGGTAAGGATGACTACTGCGTTTGTGGTGCAATCAGAACATTGCGTGTGTTGAAGTTGTTTTAACGCAAACCAAAGATGCCTTTTAAAAAACAAGTTTACATCATATTCTTATGCATGCCAGTGCTGTGTGTAATTTAAGGTGGTTCTGACAAGTGTCGTCGACATCTTCATATCTGGTCACATGGGCAGCAAGCCACTCCCATCCAGTCACATGGGTGGCAAGCCACTCCCACAAAGTAGGCCACACCCACAGAGTAGGTTCGAACAATTTTTGAAACCCACCACTGATGTAAAGGCATGTGCATGTGAACATTCACACACTCATTGTTGTATAAGCAGCAATCAATTTGATTCAGAGGAGTTCTCTATAATATTTTGGGATAACAACAAAACTTTACTTACAAAAGTAGGGAAAAATCAATTGACTCTTACAAAAAAAATATTCTCTTAGCTTCTTAACATGCCGTTCTCTCTAGGTAGCCCTTTTCTAATCATGATGATTTACAACGCCTTGGAGGTAACTATAAAAAGCTCAACACTGACACACAATCCCTAATTAACCTGAAATATGCACTAACTTTACAGGAGGTATGCAATGTTACGGAATTATATTGTAAAAAAATATAATAGAGGTTCATAGAAGCAATTTCATAAGAACACCACAGTAACAAAAATTATTGTATTAGTATAGAATCCACTAGTTGTTTAAATTAACCTCCACTGTAAATAACAAAAATGAACTAACTTTGTATTCTCTTAGTATTTCAGAGGTGCCTAATACATTTCTGTGCCGGAACAATTCTTTTAATGATTCATCTCCGAACTTAAATATGCTTTTCCTCCCACAAAAGGAATTTTAAAGAGGACTAAGTAAAACCACAATATCCTCTTCATACATAAATGGGTTAGGTCTTTTGAATAGAGACTGCATTGTCACTTCAAAGCCATTCTTGCCATTACCCCATACAATCATATAGGAGGTATTCCTTTTTGTATGAGGTAATGAGTAGGCCCGATTGTGGCTGTGATTTATTAGTGCATCCTCTCTGGAGCAGCACTGCACCTGCATTTACAGAGATGGGACACCCACGAAGGTGGATGGTTTATTAGGGACAGCTCATCCTCAAGCAACCCAGAGCATTTTAAGGGGAAATGATCCAAATTTAGACCTGCTCTAACAGGTGTCTTTTAGAATATTTTTAAAAAACAATTATATATATCTAAGGTGAGGCAAACATTTCTTCGCTTGTAGTAATCACTCCATGAAAACAAGTATATCAGTTCCACCACCACCTTTGTAGCTGAGAGATAGAGAAAGGCCGATAGAATTCTCATTATTTTTCAATGCTGTGGCTTGCCAAATGCTTAGAAAGATAGAGCTTAGTGAAGTGAGACTTCAAAGTACATACAAATGCCAGATCCAAACTGCTATCCAATATTTATCCTCAGCATAACACAAAGGTGGAAATTCTACGCCTCTCTAGAAACACTGCCTATAGTGAGTGATGTTATGAATTACAGTTCAGCAAAATTTGAAAAGACACATATTTCCTATCCTGGTTTAACATAAAGGTAATTCAACATTTCTTCATTTGGCATAATTTATGACTTAGTGTTTGGGTTATCACAGCTAACATTTGAAATGTGACAAGTGACAATGGAAATGAATAAACTCAATGTAAATACAAAATCCAATGTAAATACTTTCCTTATAGCCGACTTCCACAAGTAGGCATATTCCACATATATTTCCCATTCCCAGAATTCCCATAGCTACTCCTGAGAATTAGGAGAGCTAAAATCCACATATCTAAAGAATATCCAATTTGGGAAAAGCTACCTCCAAAACTGATTCTCATTTGACTTTGATAGATGCATGCGCTAGAATGTCTTTGGTTATCATGATACGAATAGCCTTATTGGTCAATGAAAGAGCTGACTGTATCTTCCTAGGCATTTTAACTATAAGTTTAAGAAAACACTTGCATTTTTTTTCAGAACCAAAGATAAAAAAAATAAGAATTTGCCAAATCAAGTTCAACTCCTGATGTTTGTACATTCATGTACTACACAACAGTAGAAAAGTGTTACATGAGGGAAACTGAATTTAGCTTCAGAAGCTAAGTATTTTTTAGATTCCAGTGGTAAATAATATTTTAAATTGAATTAGGATTATCTAGTAAGGACTGATAGCTAAGTAATTAAGTTTTTTTTAATTAAACAACATTATTGTTACTATTTGAATATAGACAATTTTTTTCCCTGTGTAATATAAGATCTAATTCAATGTGAGATATAGCTCCTTGCTAAGAGTCTACTATGGATAGGCAAGCTATAAATATGGTGAAAGGAAGGAAATAATTTGTTATTACCCAAACCTGTACATTTCAAAATATAATTATCCTAATCTCTTATCTCCAACTAATTTCTAGGAATCATTTATAATCATTCATTTTTTATGAACCAATTCCTACAATAAAATAATTTTAAAAAGTCTGGTGCCATATTCCTGTTCTACCAGAATTTAAAGTAATATGAAACAAAGGATTTTTCCCCAGTAGTGATGCCTAACTTTATTCTACAGGGAAGCTCGATTTGACCTATTCTCTGTTTGCTTAGCATCATTATGCTAATTTTTAATTCATCATTTGGGAAGTTTTGATAAGCAACATAAAGAATCATTCAACATGTTTTATTCATTTTAGCTGTATAGCCTGTTTTTTACTATTTCTTTTAGTGATTTTATTTCTTTGTTTGCTAAAACAAAGTAAAACAGAAACGCCTGAGGTATAATTAGTATTACAGTGCATCTACACTGATATGTAGGAGTAGAAAGACACAGTTATTTTTTGAGCCTAAACTAAACCAATTAGTTGGCTGTATGCTTGTTAAACATTTAATTTTAATTCTTGTAATCAAGAGGCACATTAATGATATCACAATGATTCAAGTTTATATCCTAGCCACTCAAGAGTCAATTTAAGGTTAAATGGCACCTAAATTGAATAAAATAGATACACACATACATATATGTACATCATTTATTTTAATCCTACTTATCTACTCTATAAATCTATAATTTTATTAGCTTAGTGATTTTACTTTATATTAGTTAATGACTATAACAGAAAATAAGTCTAAGGCCAATTCTGTAATTCTACTTTATTTGGTTAGAAAAGGTTAGAAAAGAAAATGCCTAGAAAAGGTTCTTATTATTCCAATTAATGTTGCCAAAGCAAATTGCATTTGGAATTTCACCATCTATGTTGCAGACAATCTCAATGCAAGATTTCAATGTTAATTGTAATGTTAGAATACAGTCTAGTAACGCCACCTTTGAAAGGAACATTAATCCAATGCCTTTTTAATAAATCTTTCAGGGGCTCAGATTTTTATACTATGCTTTATACTAAGTTAGAAAATAACAATAATAGATAAAATAATAATATATGTATTCAAATTCAGAAAATATTATTCTTATATTCACATATTGAGATACTCCAGTTTGCACTTTTTCTTATTTCATCCTTACCAATTTCTCTTTATCAGTAAAAGTTTGAAAAAATGAAAATAAAATGATTCTACTGGCTTTCCATGTTAGTACTACTTGCAAAATGACGAAACATATGGAAAGCAAAGATTTAAAAACTGCAGTAAAAAGAAAGATCAGTATAGTAGTTTATCTTCTGTGGGAAAGTTAAGAGGCTGTAATGTTTACCCAATTTTTTCCTGGATTAATAATAAGCTGTGAACTAGCTTTAGGAATAAATAATTAAATTGTTCAATTTCACATTACAATTTTATGGTGCATATTATTATGAATTAGCTTTGAAAAATATAAATAACTATAAATACACATAATCACAAAACATCATAGATTCTGGGTGAAATGGAAACATTTGAATATCTACAGCAGCTAGCCTTCATAATTATTTGTTTTATGTATATTTCATAAGATTGAAACTTGTTAATTTGGAAAGAGGCAAAGTCCAAAGCTTACTTTTGAAGGATAGATCTCTTAATGACAATTTCTTCATTCAGATCTACTTCATTGGCCATGAAAAGCAACCTCTTCTCTGAGTCATCTACTCCAATGAAGTCACGCTGTTCCACTGAAATAGAAAATAATAACATAACTCTTTTACAATTCTTGTCTGTAACCTAGTAAGAGTATGGCTAGAACACCTGAAACAAAGCATATACAGGTGGTCCTTAATTTATGACCATAATTGAGACTAGAATAAAGCACTTGTTCAGTGAGTTGGACCCTATTTTATGATCTTTTTTACCACAACTGTTAAGTGAATCCCTGCAGTGAAGTGAAGAATGTGGTTCTTAAATGAATCCAACTTCCCCCATTGACTTTGCTTGTCAGAAACTGTTTGGGAAGGTCACAAATGGCAATCACATGGCCTTGGGATGCTGCCACCATCATGGATACATGCCGGTGGCCAAGCAACTGAATTTTGATCCTGTGATTGTGGGGATGTTACATTAGTCATAGGTTAGGTCATAAATCACTTTTTTCAATGCCATTGTAGCTTTGAATGGTCATGAAATGAATGGTTGTACATTGAGGATTACCTGTATAAATGTCAACAAAGTTTGATCATCGAACCTGAAAGAATTTTCCTGAAAATTCTAGCAAGAGTGTTCCAATCAGAGAGGAATCAAAGAAAAATAAAGAAGCTCCATGAGAGATCCTTTGGCTATGTGTGGCTGTAATTTGAAAGATTCTTGTATTGCCACTTCACTGCTTTACAATTTGAATTATTGAATCAGGGAAAATGAGGAGTAGTTTCTTCTTAAATAGGAGGGATACGAGCGATCCTTTGCAGGGCAGAGCTGAGGACTACGTCCAATTCCTCGCGGATAAAGTTGCTCGGTTTCGGACGGACCTGGACTCCAATCCCGCAGTACCAGCTGAGGCACCAAGGGATAATCTGGTAGAACATCACTGGATTGATTTTCAAGCTGTTACCCCTGAGGACGTGGACAAGGCCATGAGAGCTGTAAGTGCCTCCACATGTGTACTGGACCCGTGGCCCTCCTGGCTGGTTGTTAATAGCAAGGAGGTGACACGGGCTGGATCCAGGTGGTTGTTGCCGCCTCCCTTCAGGAGGGGGTCTTTCCCCC